ATGATCATCACTTACAGCAAGCATCAAAGTGAAAAACTGCTTTCTTCGCGAATCAAGTTGGGCGCATAGGGGTTTTGGCTTTGGCCCATTTTGCCCGCCGCCGGATGCCGGGCTTTTCAAAATTTTTAGAATTTGTTGCAGTCTTGCCTGTCAATTTAGCATACTTGTCATATACATACAAAATACTGCGGTATATTTTTGAGGAATCAGCCAGTGATTTTTTAAGCAAAAATTAACAGCCAAACAATAGCCAAAACATATCTGCATATTAATCGACAGCCAAAACAAATCTTCGATTCATATAACAGACTATGGCAAATTCTCAAGAAACATACTTTGCGGAAACGAAAAATACAAAAATTGCTTGTAAGATACTCCTCAGACACCGCTAATAATCATTTTTCTCCATGAAACCATCTTCCCGAAAATTACTTATCATCAGTCATCGATTCAGCGGGTAATACCATGAGATTTTACACAACATGTGAATGAGAGTCACTAATACTTCCACGTGATGTAATTTAATAAAATGAGTCACGCACCGCGCCCCCTCCATTCCCTGAGAAGTTGTCAAAATTATTAAAATGAAATAAACTATCTTTATAATAACCAAGATCTGTCGCAAATGATTATCAGTAAAATATTTCTTTAAACTTAGATAACTGAATTCCTGATCTCTCGATCATGCGATGCAAAATCCGTCGCTCTGTCGCAGGCCCCTTGACTTGACCAACCAAGTCGCCAAATTGAGCCCAAAGATTGAACATACTATAAAATCGAGGATGGTCCACGAGCGCGTCGTCAATTAGAGGAGAGGCAGGACTTCATACTGCTTCGCGGCCGTCATTTCATCAAGATCGACGGAAACACGGAAAGGAAAAGTTAAAAGTGAAAGAGGAATGTATGCGGGATCGGTGCCACGGGCCACGGAGAAAGGGTCGCGACAAAGATCATTTGACTCAATTGCCCACCGCGCGTACGGGTTTTCCAGGGTGGCGTCTGACCAGATTTCGGCCAAGTCTAGCTCTCGTTCAGCAATCGAGGGCTGGTGGCTGTTCGCCTGGAATTAAAAGGCCAAACTGGCCGGTTGAATGCGGAATTAAATGCACAAACTGACACATGAGCAGCCGGCCACTGTCATTTGTTGAAGGGATGCATATCGTCACCTACCTGACATATGGGCGTAATTGCACTCTACAATGAACCCTGTCTTCCATACATTTCAAAGCTTTTTCGGGCTCATTTCAATGTGCAGTTACGCACCTATGTTAGCCAAGCGATGCATCGTCCTTGCATAGCCAAATCGTGCATTTTAATCCAAATTTGAACTGCCATTTTAGCTGTCGGGGAATATACCTAAAAATCTTTCTGTCGCAGAAAATATGCTGCCTCCTCAAGCTCTTGAGCTATAATATAGAGTAAAATAACAAGAAAAAAATATTTGAATAATTGTGTGATCCAGTACCGGCAAAAACTTCAAATTAAGCGCAAGAAGAAAATATGAACAGAAAAAGCTCTCGAAAAAAAGAGTTGCCTCAAATTATTGTTTAAAAAAACTGTCGAAAAAGAGGAAAATCCACGAATTTGTGTCATGTGCTGACGTGTATTCTAATTTCTAATAGGCAGCTCACGTTGAACTCGATGGTTTAAGAAAAATCAACCAAGGACTGGCTGTGCGATCAACCACAAATTTTGTATATTTTAGTCGTTTGCCAGACATAAATTAAGTTAAGATTTGTTATTGTTCTGTGTTCACCTGCTCAGAGACTACATATCGATGCCTAAAGTGCGAGACCGCATATATCTGTTTGCGAGATTCTAGACTCTCAGTCATACATTATTTTTTTCTTGTAAACTTATAGTCAACGTAATTTTAACAAAACTTCTTTAATTTTTTTCTCTGTTGTTTGGATATTCTGTATGGATATCAAGCTATGAAGCTGACTTGTTCCTCCTTAAAAAAATAAATTATAAGCGAAGACACCGCGATGGAGATACGTGCTGTCACACTTTAGCCGTCGATATGATATGCCTCGATATTTCAGAGATAAGTGCATCACGTCCGGTAATGGGGGCGGAGGGCTGATCTGATGGAGGACCCGTCTGATAGATTTTTTGTGAAGCGAAAAATTCGATCAAAATACTACACCATGAGAAAATAAAGAGAAAATGTCATAATCTACGATTTAATACGCTTTTGCTGATTTATTTAATATGGTATCGCCGTCGAGAGGGAAGTGCGTCTACAGTTTCTCTTGCACATTTCTTGGGCCATGAAATAGTCTCAGTGGTACTATTAACGCCAAAATTGTGTGTATTTGATCACTGTGCGATTAGGGATTGTTCAGAAAATACGTAACGCTGAACTCGGAGTTTCCGAACCTCCCCCTCCCCGCTTACCTAGCTTTAGTGACGTGGGCCCCAATCCTTTAAGATGTAAAAACAAAATTGTCTAACGCTCTCCTCACTGCTGTCATAGCGTAGAGAGCAGTAAGGGTCAAATTTTCGAAATCAAGGCTCCTTAAAAATTCGTCTAATCCATTTTAGATGAAATCACAGAAATAGCTAAAATAGCAAAATTCATCTTACTTTCATGGAAACGAGACATATGAGAAAGCCGCAAGTGCGCAAAAAATGACGTAGTTTCAGGCAAGGTAGCAGTTCTGCCGTGATAGCGAAGAGAGCCGTAAGTGCAACATTTTCGAAATCGAGTTTTCTTCAAAATTCGTCTAAATTCTTTTAGATGAAATTACTGAGACAGCTAAAACAGCAAAATTCATCCTAATTTAATGAAAACGAGACGTATGTAAAAGCCGTAAGTGCACAAAAAATGACACAGTTTTTTTTCAAGACAGCCGTAGATGCATGAGAGCCAATGAGAACAGTGCTTTCCAGTAAAGTGCCGCCCTCTTCTGCCAATTTCTAACCTGAAAATGTGTTTGTTGTGCGTCCAAAACGCAACCACGAAAGCATGCAGAAGATAGCACTTACGGCTGTCTTGCCTAACAATAACCTAGCATGAAAATGAAAAATACCCTTTTTATGTAATGGAAATTAAATCAGTCGATTTTTAATCATCCAAACGATCTCTAGGAATCTTTCGGACGATTCGTGATAATTTGAGAAAAAACGGAGGCTTCTGTAATAAAATTTTCCGGTAACATGCCTCCGAGCCCGTTTTACCAAAACTTCATTTTGGCACTTACTGCCCTCTTTGCTGTCAACGGCCCATCACGTTGACACACATTAATCACCGCACCTGTGGGTACTGAAAAGCAATATCGTGATCTATTAACTCAAAGGCTCCAATGAATCATCATTTTCGGAAGTGGCTGAAATCTCGGGGATGGTACTTAATATATTAAAGGGAGTAGTACTATTATTGTGGGTATAATTAGGCCGGGGAAATAACCCGAAAATGACGCGAGGTAACAGTGACAAGGAGCGTATTGAGAAAGGTGATTAAGTGATGGAGGTGTAAGGTTTTATTCCTCCGCGCACTTCATTGTAAAAGAAAACTTTTAATTTCTGTGTTCGCAACGAAAGTTTTGTTTCACATGTATGTGAATCTACAAGTCGGGAGAAAGAAGAAACGCAAACCTACCGGTATCTTTTCTAAAACAAGAATTTTTTTTCCCCTAGGCTCTGTCAAATTTTTCGCAGGAAATATCGATGAGACTTTTCTTCCCAATAAATTAAAACCAATAATTCCGAAATGCGGTCAGGGTAGAGAGGAGGGTTCTACACTTCTACAATCAAAAGTATAAACAACACTATGAAGATGATTTGACCTAGTAAAAGCGAATACGTGAAGCTTTTTTCACAAACTCTTAAAAAATTTGTCAAGAAGTATTAATTAGAATAACACTTTTGGTATATTTTTAAAGGAAAAATGCTTCAGGACTTTTACATAATAGATCTCTGAAAAAGAAGCCTCCCGTGTTTGAAGCATTATTATGATTTTTTTCTTTCAATTCTTTCAATTCTGGTTAAAACCAGATTAAGTAAAAAGTTACAGTAAAGTCACATGTTTCAATTTCTTTACTGATGTAATTTCAATTATTGATATAATGGTTCAAAATTGCACACTAAAAAGGGCTTTATTAGAACTACTTTTAAACAATTTTTCTTGTAATTGTCTGTTTAAAATTTACGAGTTTCTCGATGCGAAGATCATTTGAGAAGAAGAGAAGGAGGAGGAAGAAGAAGAAGAAGGAGAAGAAGGAGAAAAATAGTAGGATTGTAATAATAGTTAGAATAGATAACGCAGTAGGAATGGAAGCGCCGCGCAGCGAGGTAGCGGTAGTCTGATTTACGCGGGAAATTCAAATATCGGATAGGTTGAGCGAACTTGCCGGGGCCGGCTAGTTAACTCCAAAGACTGGATTTCGTATATCATTGCCGGGCAATGGTATTTAACTCAGGATCTAATGATCACCCCCGGATCGATCCCTCAAATGTCAAGATTTCAACCGCATTGCCGGCCCGTCCCATCCGACTACCTGAATTCTGATCGCAGAACAAAAGAAAGGGAATCCCATTCAGATTTGAAGCCAGTGCCCGCGATGAATCGATCCGGCCTCTCGACACTTGACGTGATACGTGCCTTTATGAGCTATCGAAGCATATCATATGCAGTCTCTGGTGTCCGTTACGTAGCCCACAACTGAAAAAATCCCAAAATCCACTATTTACACACAATGTGTGTACTTTGCATCATGCGTTTTCAAATATCCCGCGTCTGCGGAAAACTTATTCTTTGCGCTATACGTCCCTTCCGTCTCAGATCCAGACAGAGCTCAAAAAAAGTCTTCTCAGGTAGCCGTTTTGCCATCAATTTTTTTGCATGACCGTTCACCAGAGATTTGGCCATGACCCAAAAAATAATGCTACTTTTCTCTTCCATTATCTTATGTCATTTTCCGGAACTCCCAAAACGAATAGTTCTCTATTCTCTGATGTCAACTGGTCCAGGAGTAAAATCAAAAGAGATAAAAATGTAAATGTTGTTCAAATTTATCTTATTTTAACAAAAAATTACAACTGGTTCCGCCCATGGTCCTCGTATTTTCACCATTTCAAAGAAGTCAAGGTAGATTTGCCGGCTGAGTTGTAATTGATGAACCTTAAAATGTGTCCTGTGACGAACATCGTGCAAAACTGTAACATTTTCAGATGATAGATGCCAACTTCCAGACTCCTTAATTACAGCCAGACTTTACATTACAAGGCGTGCACGTCTGCAAACAGAGAAAATTAATCCGTAATTAAATTGTTATGGAGTCAGGCGAAATGATCCCTCGGGTAAAAAAATAAAAATTAAAATTGGAATAACTTTAGTCCAGCCCACTGGAGTTCTTTATGTGTCCCATTTTGCGCAAGGGAAACCCACACATTCTGCCAAATTGACCCTTACTTGCGAAAATTTTAAGGTTAAAGATCATTGAATCGAGCGCTAGAGAACATCGCAGTTGAAGATTATTAACACTATTGTTACTTGTAGATACGATTCATTCCAAACGTGCATGTATAATATCCCTGTTAATTCGAGCTATGAATGAAAATGACTCACAATCAATGTTTCTGAAAGTATTAGGCAGCGTTTACCGATAAAAACTAAGGATCTTTTTTTTTCTTTTCTTTTTTTTAACAGAAGTGGAATCTGCTAGATAACGGGGAAAAACGAAAAGTTCCCCCAAATTTGACGCACCTCAGGGAGGGTTTCCATTCCGGTTCCTGAAATCCAGGTACTAGTCGCGATCCGGCTAATAACTAGGTCTCACGTCCCTAGTCCAGACCAGGGACTAAAAATCGATATATTTTACCCAAAAAGGCCGCTTGAGTAATACGAAAGCTACTCAAGGGGAACGGGATATGAACTTGCCTTACGGAGTCTCATCAATATCCGGGGGGGGGGGGGGGGGGGGGGGGGGGGGGGGGG